TCTTTTCTCTCACAATCATTGCACTTTCCCCATTTCACAGAAAACTCCCGCTTTTCAGTAAGTGAAGAAAAGAGTTTAAATTTCTTTCTTTTGATTTGATGAGCAGAGATGTTGCTTGCTTTCTGGCAACTTTGCTTAATCTCTGACTCTAGATTCACTTTGTTGCTCATTTTCTATTTTTGCGTTAGAATAGATTAATTTTCTCAGAAAGATCCCTATCTAATTTCCGCAGTTTGGCTGCTGGTCTCCTTATTAGAATTCATAGGTGCATGTCTGTTTCTCTGCCAGCAAATTCCTCATATTTATTATTGTGGCAAAATGAGGAATTGAATTTGAATGAGCTTTTTTTTCCTTATGTTTTGCTGTTGACTAAAGAAAGTGCAGAAATCAACTATGTGATGTGCGCACAATGCGATAGTTGCAGTGTCAGTTCAAGTCTGGATCACAGCTTGTTCTGGAGAAGAAATATATAGATCAGAGGCGAGAGTCTGTTTTTAACATTAAACTGTAAAATTCAAATGATTATCCAAGTTCTTTGTGTTGTGAGAGAGTGAATGAGAACCTGGATGTCCATTGCAGATCTATCAGATTCCTCATTAAGATCGCTTTGGAGTCTTACGCTTCTGAACTAAACTGTCACCCACACAGTCTGAGCTATGAAAGAAATGCTCAGCATTGATATGTTTTTACATTCACTTATATTAAGAAAAACATTGTCTTTGTTTGATAAGTACTGCCATCCACACAGAGAGCAGCCCTTTGGATCTGACGCTAGAACATTTTGGCTGTTATGAAGAGACAGTGTTTTATTTAACTGGTTTATCTACCTGTAATGATTTGAAGGATCAAGCATCATTGACCACGTGTCTTAGCTAGCTAAATCTGCATTTTATACCTTGCCCTATAAAAGATGGATTTGCAACAAAAGAACTATCACATTTAATTCATAACAAATGAGATGAAATTTTTTTCTTCTCATTTTCCAGGATTATTGACCTCCCTGACATTTCAGAAGTTCATGGTGATTGTAATTTTATTCAGTAACTAGAACTTTCTATTTCGAAGTGCATGTCCTCATTAAGTTGAGGGATGACATTGCTGGGAAATGAAATGGTTTTTCATTTTTCACCCAAAATAACAGTGGAGGATGGATTTCTTCAAGGTCTGTGATACAGGCTGGGTTTAGAGAAGGATACCCTTTATATTTTCCCATCAATACATCTTAACCCCAACGTGAGAATACACTGATATGCCATTATTATATGTTTCTTGTTGTGAGAGATGCATGGACTGTGGAGACCCGATATGACAAAAAAAAACACCTTCAAGCAAAGGACAAAAGGAAATCAACTATGAGACAGAAAAGAGGTATTTCTTTACATAGAGGGTAAAGAACAATTACAACAACAACTTGCACTTATATAGTGCCATCCACACAGGGTAGTGTCTCAAAGTGCTTAAAGGTGGTGGAGCCCGACTCCAAGCCGGGGTGGGGGTTGGTGGGGGGAAGTAAGTGACAGTAGGTATGGTCGAAAAGAAAGGTAGGTATGGTTGAAAAGAAAAAAAGGGAGGGGGGGTAAGGCGGAGGGATTGAGGGAGAGGGAAAGAACAGGTTACTGGGATGGATGGTTTAGATGAGGATATTGGACTCGTTTTAAATGTTTGATGTTGTAATGGAAAGATATTGGGATTGTTTTTCTGGAGGAATGAAAGGAAATGGGCTGAAGGTTTTTGTTGATCTGATCTCCTGGTGAGTGTGGCCCAGGGAATGGGGGGGGTGGGGGGTGAGGAGACAAAAGTAATTTTTGATATGAGGTTTGCATGCAGCCAGCTTCAAAACCTGTACCAAGAGTGCTCTGTAATCAGCTCTCATGACCCAGACTGTTTCGCCTATCATTTTCACTGGGGAATCCATTTCATAATAGATCCTTTTAGCCAGTGGAGAAAAGGGATTTTTATTCCATCAATCTCGGCCGCAATTGACTGGGGATGGGCAGGGCAGTGCTCTCTCTATCCCATCAAACCATCAAGTCTTTTCAGTTTTCTATATTACCCTTCAATTCCTTTTAAAATGCACAATTTTATTGTTACAGATTTACAACCCATTTCTAAGTGGCTTTTCACAACTTGCTTTTTGAAGATATCACTTTGCAGAAAATCTCAACTTTTTCATAAAACCGTGGAATTGAAATCTAAGAAAGCAGAATTTTGAAAAGCCGCCTAGCTTTACCTTATCACTTACATTTAGATTTAAGACTCACTCATAAATAAGAGTATGTGCAAGATGGTTTCAGAGTGGCATTGTGCTGAGTGAATTGGAAGTAAAGGTTAGCATTGCGCATAAATAACTTTGTCGCAAAGTGTTAATTCGAGCATTAATAGGGAATCGGTTGGGTTATTTTTAGGGTTTGAGATTTTTTCACAGCAAAAAACTGTCAAAGATAGGGTGATGTTCCTGTTTGTCCATGACAAAACCCGCTGACCAGTACGTTTCCCACATAAACCTTGAGAGAGGCTGGCGCATGGATTCGCATAGCTCAGCCTCTTACCTGCATGGGCACCAGTCTCTCTCAAGGTCAATGGAGAAAAATTAAACTATTCTCACGGATATGTTGCTTCCCACGCTCACAGGTAAAGGTGTTTTCACATCCCAGTTGAGACATTGGAAATGTTGGGAGAATGAAGACATTTGGTTGAATTTCCATACCCATGTCTTCTCCCAACATTTCCCCGTGAACCAGTGACGTTCAGTAAATTTACCGTGACTGCTGTGTGATTTTTGACTTAAAATGTTTTGATGGATGTTTGTTTCTCAACAAATGGATTTTTGACGCTGGGTCTATATCTGCAGCCCTAGCTATTATATATTCCCCCAATATATAACTTGTGGAGTCCTGTAGCTCAGTGGTTAGAGCACTCGCTTTGTAAGTGAGAGACCTGAGTTCAATTGCAGGCAGAGGGCGAAACCTTGGGCAAGTTTCCTTACTCCACACACCTAATAATAATCCCTCCAAAACAAAACAATAAGAAATTGGTCATTTTCAATCTACGGCTGTTTGTGGGACATTGCTGTGCGCAATTGGCTGCCACGTTCACCCACAAATATACAGTCAATTCACTTTACAGTGTGTTCTGTGAAGCGCTTTGGGACGTCCTCCCGACATGAAAAGCGCTGTATCAAATGCAAGGATTATTATTATTATAATATTATTGTCAAACAATTTCTCCACATGAAGCCTAGTAAAAAGCTGGATATATCTTCTTTTCCTCCAGTCATCTTCTTTCATCTTGAAGTTTAGAAAACATCCCACCAGGCTATTTTATTTCTGGACAAAACTTTTTCGGTCCTTTTTAAATCCAGGTTATTTAAAACACAGTGAATCATTGGGGATCAGATTTGTTAATAATACCATTCACATCCATCATAGGTACTAATTCCTGTTTGTAATATTGTCATTATTGTGCTAATTGAAATGCAGATTACTTGTTGGTTCCTGTATGCTTGCTCCTGCTGTGAAACAGCCAGCATGTTCCTTGTTACAATAGTTTGTTAACATCTGCTTCCCTTTCATTAGTGTAATAACATAAGCATCTCTTTGTTCAGCTGCTTTTAATGGAATAATCAAGGCTGTTAGTGTTTGTCTGTCACGTTAAAAGCCTTGCATTTGGATTTTCTGCCTTCTTGAAGAAAAATAACGCTTTCCCCATCCGTTTCCCAGAATGTTGAACCAAAATCCCTACATGAATAACCAATGGTGTCAGTGGTGGAAAAACTGCCCTCATTCCACATTTTTCAGTGAAATCTCTCACTTTAAACCAGGACTAACCTGTTTAAACCCTAATTTTCATCCAGTCTGAATGAATGGTCAGGTTTGAAATGCTTTGAACATCCAATCTGTTTCTCTGCTAACCCTTAATGCTGGGAGATGATTTTCAGTGAAGTTGGGACTATGTGGATGCTTCTGATGCCTATTTTTGTTCTACAAGTGTCTCTTGAGTTTGAATTGCCACAGTCTCGGACTCGCAGGAGTAAATTGGATCTAAACTTTGCTCGGGTCTGGAGCTTTGCAGGCATGAATCAATCACATTTCTTCCGAGTTGCTTTTTCTGACCAACAAAATAAAAGCCAGCTTTCTGTTTTTCGACCACGAGTCACAGTATTGTATCTGGTCAAAGTTTAGAACTTGTGCTCAGAAGACATGTAAACCTAAGTGTTTTAGCAAAATGCCACCTGGGGTCAAGTATCAGCTTCGATTCTGTTCCTTTAGTGCATAGTAAATAAATCCCATATCGGCAGCTCAGCAACTGAGTCTTGATACTTTTTGTATTATATTTAAAAATCACAAATTCACAATTAGCGGCGTGGAAGAAGGTTTGGTCCTCGCTGCTGATATTGGTTACTGGCTCCACTTTTATTACAGAGGAAGCACCACGGACTGAAGCAAAAGGATTGGGTCAGCCCAGGAGGAGTCTGATTCCATAAGTTTAATATTTGTCATTCATTTGTATGGGAGACAGAGTGGGTTCAATGGAGGTGAGGAGAGGTTGTGGGGAGGGTGGTTGGGGGGTTAGGAGGATTCAATGATAAAGAGCAAAAGCCCTACAGCTGGAATTCAGCTGGTAATAAAGCAAAGGCATTGGAATCAGAAATGGGAACTGGGAGGTTGAATGTCACACGGAGTTCTTTTATAGGCCATTAGCACTTTAAAATAGTTTTTGACAGATAGACTGCTCAGGCAGTTCTGCCATTATAGCATAAATCATAAGCTAATGGAAATGCTTTGTTTGTAGAATCCTCAGCACATGCCTTTAGTCAGAGCAAATGCAGCATAGAAGGAATTTGAGAAGCTTTGTTTCCATAATAAATGCATTGTTTGGTTCCCGTATTCTATGCTGCTCGGGGGGGGGGGGGGGTGGGAATCATAAGGAACATCATCAGTCTTGTGGAATCTGAAATTAACGTGGTTCCCCCTTATGTGTTGTGTTTTTCTGTGAGACAGATGTTGATGAATGTGCCGAAGGCATCATCCAGTGCCACAATCACGCCCGCTGTGTCAATTTGCCAGGGTGGTACCACTGTGAGTGCAGGGCTGGTTACCATGACAACGGTAACTACTCATTCACCGGAGAGACCTGCATTGGTAAGCAATTAAGCAAACTAGCTGTCATTGCATTAAGTTATTTGTTCTATTTATAAACAATAACTGCCGTTGCCTTCCAGCACACCCAGCTCTGTGCTTGACGGCTCTCTCTGACTCGGCGCAAGGAGCCAGAGCAAAGCAGAAAAAAGATCTAGCACTGTTTCTTGCAAGAGAAAATAATGAAAACTCGAACAGAGTTTTGCGGTTAGCTTATTTTAAAGGAGCTTCAAAGTCATTTTACGCACAGCCCGATTGCTGAGGGGCTTTCAATCTTTTCTTTTTGCAAGATTAAAACAGTATGATGAAATCAGGGCTTGTTTTCCAGGGGGTGGAAAGCCATGGAGAACTATCTCCTGGAAACTGATGTTTGGATCTCAGTGTACCAACATCCACGAATGATGCAAATGATGTGGATGTTTGTGTTGGAGCATGCCTAGTGGCCAATTATTGCATAAACCTCGACATTGGAAGACCTTCCTACAGTAAATAAGCGTTTGCCTCCATAGTATATTTACTGAGTTATTTTTAGAACAATTGCCCGACTCCTTTCCTGATTGGGCTGTTATTTTAAAGCTGGAAGCTTTACTTTTTTTTCTGGCTGAAAGTCCACACTCAGCGCACACAGTATCTGGACTTCAATGGGACATGCATTCTGCTCACAGCTGGCACCGGATTATTGTCAGTCAGCAAAATAAAGGCCCCTGAGGCACAGCTTGCTAGATATATAACGGAGATAGCAAGCCTACAGACGTGGACATTCTCTTGTGTGTGCAGCTTGTGACTGTGTCAGGCCACAATGGTAAAAATTGTTGAACTATATGTTTCATATAAAAGGCCTTTGAAATCCAGAGACTTGAGTTATAACCCAATCCAGGCTGAATCTTGATTTGGAAACCAAATTTTTGTGGAAAAGGGATTTCCGAAATGACAGTGAATTTTTAAGACGTTTCCTCCACTATGCCCAAACTTCAATCTTAAGACAAAATGGCTTTACAAGCTTAGAATTTCGTGCATTGGATCTTTCTTAAAATAATAACACTTGATGCCGCGACTTTCACATTGGGAGGACATCGCAAAGCACTTCACAGGATTTCCTGTGAAACGGAGTGACTGTGAATTTGTAGGTAAATGTGGCAGCCGATCTGTGCGCAGCCCTGCCCTATTTAATTTGGGGGTAGGTTGGCCGGGAGAAACTCCCTTCTCTTTTTGTAAAGTGTCATGGGATCTTTAATGTCCACCTGAACAGGCAGAAGAGAGCTCAGTTTATCGTCTCACCCGAAGGGCAGCACCTCGGACAATGCAAACCTCTCCCCCACTACCCCCTCACTATCACTATCACTGTGTTAGAGTATCAAATTTAGACTATGTGAGTTCATGTCCTTTCGTGGGGCTTGAACCCACAACCTCTGACTCAGGCGAGAATGCTACCACTGAGCCACACTTACACATGCTCTTCTGGGAGCAGACTGTACTGTGGTGAACTGTGAATGGAACCACAGGTCAAAAGGCAACTGAAAATAACTAACCATGTTGTGCACTGTTTTGTTATCGTTACTGTTGCTTTATTTATTTTAAATAGGTAGGTGAAGCTGTGAGTGCTGTGATCAAAACGCCATTCCACAATGAATAAACTTTAGGCGGAATTTAACTTGTGTGTGACCTAAAGGAAAACACCATTGAATGTTTTTTTCTCTTCCCTTACCTTTTTCTGATCAGGTTCAATAAATCACAAGTGGGCCTGCCTCTGCAATAACCGCATGGTGCTTGGCACCCCCTTTATTTTTGTTATTTCGCCTTGCAGGCACGAATGTAACCAAACTGCTTTGCTGAGTTTTGCTGATCCCTGCTGTTCGAGGGCTTTTAACTGAGTTAAAGAAAACAAGGCCGATTTAAATCAAACTTGAAATGTTTTAACATTATGTGTGATGTTCTGCCTGGACATGTGTTAGAATCATTGCCATAAGGACATTTGGGCACCTCCAGCTGAACTGAGTCTTGTTAAAGTCTTAAGGAGCCAGACACTCATTCCTAACTTTAGACGAGTTGGACTTTGGGCTACGTGCGCTCCTGGGATTGACTTTAACACCACAGTCTCACAGTACGTGTTACCTTCTCAGCTAATTCTGTAGTTCTGAGCCCCAGTTGTTTACAAGTTATTTGGGGGCTAGGATCATGGAGCAGTTTGTCATCTGCTACCGCTGATCTTTCATGTAACATATTTTATCCACACTGGCTTGCCACTAAAATCAAAGCTGAAATAAGACGAGATATTTTTAGTGTGTTTCAAGACCACAACAAATTAAGACATAATCTCCATTTCTCTAATTCTGTGTAAATGTAATGACTCATCTCAAAAATAATCATGAGCACCACCACCACAGTCGTTTTTGCAGATAGGAATAGCTAAATGCATCCAACAGGATATTGGTGAGAGATCAACAAAATCAGTGACTCATCTCCTGTTGCTGTCAGTGCCAACAGTGGTAACTCTCCTGAGCTTGAGTCTAACTAGCAATTCTTCTTCCGCATGAAGCCTTTTTCTCAGTAATGCAAGACTTCATCCACACATTTAACCATCAGCCAGGGGAAGGTTGTAAAGGTATTTACTGAGCTTGAAACCTGGCCTGTGCTTACTAATTCGATGCACTGTATCCTCTTTCCTTAACCAGTTTGGTCGAAACTTTGGTTAAACCCGTCACCTGGCCACTTAGACACTTCACCACACAGTATGCCAGGCACAGAGTAGGTGACTTTGCCCCTGGCAAGAAACCTTTCGGAAGATTTGCAGTGGATTTACCGTGGGCGTTGTCCCCTGGGTGAATAACGTAAGACATGTAATCTATTTGACAATACCAGCTAGTTGCTGGTTTGAAGATATTGCTGAAACTCTCAGTTCTGTCATGTAAGGTGGGGGTTGGGGAAGGGGTCAGCAGCAGGATTTGTTTGCTCACAGAAATTAATATAGCATGTGCTGTAAAATTCCCTTTGTGTAGCTTTCCGGTTAATTAAAAGAACTATTTGTTTTGGGAATTGCAGGGTATATAATGTAGTACAAGATGGCCAGCAGCATTTTGTCTCATAAATTGCAGCAAATACTATATCTACACCTCATACTGTGAATCCTGTTTATATAGCAGTAATTTTTTCATACGAGACAATATGAGGGGAATAGTATTCCACTGGGAAATATAACCCTGTGTGACTACCTTCAGAGTGCCTCAATTGCAGACATCTAATTCATGCCACAATCCAGTGGTAATAAAAAGACAGAATTTTTAAAAACATGATTTGTTTTGAATGTACAATATAACAGCCAGTCAAGTTGTTGCAGAATAATCATCTGGGCACCAAGGCTCAGTTTCTATTTGGCTTAGAGAGAAGCATAAGTTTAAGCAAATGTGGTTTGGCAAAATAAGGAAGAAAACTTATTAAAAGAAAGCTGGAGTAGGACAGAGGCACTGGCAAGATTTGATTTTGTTTTCTTATTGCTTTTTTTAAGAGAATAGATTTACAAACCATGGGAACAGAATGGACATTCGGCCACACAACACACACAGTCACTCCACTTAACAGTATACATGCTGTAAAACACTTTCAAGATGTTCTCCTAATTGTGAAAGGCGGCTATGCCAAGTGTAAGGATTATTATAATTTGTGCATTCACAGGAACCATCACCTCAGATGTGATGGACTGTTCTTGTTAAACTAGTGAAATATTCCCTCTTTTTCTGAAAACATCTCCATCCAATACACTGCAATAATAGTATAGTTTCTACAATGATTGGAATCCACAGCCATTAGGCCTCGACAGACTCGGAAGATCCATGTGTACCATACCATGAATATTTGACTATCTAATGCATAGTTATTTGGCAGCACTGTTCTTTACCTGTTCCCTGATTTGAGGCCTAATGCAAAATTCATGCAGTCTCTCGGGATTGGAAGCTTCATAAATCTTGAATTATGCTTAACAATGTTACAGATGTACACTAACCTGATCTGTTCCTAGTGTTAGAAATAAGGCTGCAGCAGACAGAATATAAGAAATGTTATCTTTGCTCATTACAAACATCTGTTTTTCATGCAAACTGCATGACTGCAATTGCATATAAACATTAATTACTTTCGGTCCAACCTATTAAACCAATTATGTGGAACATTTCAGGCTTCGGGCTATGTATGTGTGTGTGGGGGGAGTTATCCTTCAAAAACAGCATAAAATGCATTACTGCAGAAGAATTCATATATAGAGGTTTCCTTTTGGCTTCCAATTCTGGCACAAACTGTATAAAAAGAGCACACAGTGTCCCACTAACATTCAGGATTTTTCATACAAGTTTTTCTGTTTACAGTTATTGTCCATTGAAGAGCTAGTAATACTACTAATAAATATAATACTTGCATTTGATACAGTGCCTTATTGTCTTCAAAGCACATCACAGGAATTGCTGTGAAGTGTAGTGACTATGTATTTGTAGGTGAACATGGCAACAGTGAACCACAAACAAACATGAAGTAAACAAACAATTTTATTTGTGGGATTGCTGGCCAGGACACTGGGAGAAATCCTCTTCTCTTTTGAAACGAGCATGACCAGAGCTCATTTTACAATCTCATCCAAAGGACGCCACCTCTAATGATATAGCGCTCTTCCAAAACTGCATTGGAGTGTGCCAACCTAGATGGTTTGTTCAAAATCCTTGATATAAGGTTTGAAACCCACAACTTTTTGATTCAAAGGCGAGAGTGCTAGCAACTGAGGTATCAGCTGACACGTAAATCAAGGGATCGTAAAAGAATGTTTTTATTGCATCGTTTTACCTGGTGAATTATTAATGGTAGCTTCCACCATACAGTTCAGTGTTTCACTGTGTGACATGCATCACCTTCTCAAAAATGTATAGACATTTCCAGCAGATGGGATAACGGTTTGTAAGCATCTGCTCCAAGTGTTTGTGAAGTAATGTGACAACTCAGCTGTTGTGATCAGTACAGTTATA